ATATTCCATGATTCAGAATGGATTTTGAATGCATAGGTTACCCACCAAATATGTCTGTTTTTCTGCCACCATCACACTCCTGTTTCCAATCCAAACATTATTTATGTCCATGTCAATAGCATCTATCTAAGAGAGAAAAAAAAAGATTCATGACAACTTCAAACAACTAGTTTCTTTGCAGTATTTCAGCCCTAGATGTATTTTTTTAAATAGCAAGTAATAATATGATAATTTAGCAATAACTATTACTAAATGCACTACATAACTAACTAAATAACTAAAATAACTACATCTGACATTGTAACTTTCAAAAGATTTGTATGCCTCTTTTTTGACCAAGATTATGATTTATACAATACCACGTCAAGCAGATCATTGATCTCATAGATGACGAAATCTCCAGGTGTGATTACTCGTTGGTTCCTGCAGGAAGCCTACAGAATACAAATGCAAAATGTTTAACAATGTGAAAAGCAGTCACTCATTCCATATTTAAAGTACAGTATAGTCACCTTGTAGAGCAGCTGGAGGACTGTCACCGATTTACATAAGGGTGAATCTATGACTATTTCTTGTCTTCGGTCATACGTCAGCTTGGATATCATTTTTGCGGCCGAAGTGTGGAAAAGTTTCACTAATGTTTTAAGGAAGGTTTTGGGGAGTTCAGACCAGAAATTCTCTGGAGAAAAAAAAAAATTGTTTTTCCAACAATTCTATCCATTTATAGTTACATAGCAAAATCCCCATTGTTGATTCAATGAACAAATGAAATGAACACTTTGGGTGTTAATTCACTAGGGATTTTACTGTGTACATTTAATGCTGGGATTGATTGAATAAATGAATTGATGAATGCAAATAAGTGCTAAGGATCCATACAGTGTACATACTCAAGACATCCAGTGACTCGGGTTTGACTTTTAAGATGGCAGACGCCAGAGAGATAGTGAGCTGTGTGGCACGTCCTTTTTTTTTCAGCACTCGGAGAAGTTCAGGCAGGATAAGGTAAACCCTCAGAGCCTCCACACCAGCAGGTGAGCCCAAAGAGGGCAGAAGATCTCTCTCTACAGTTCCCTCTATCTGTGAAGAAATTAAATTTACGAGACTTAAGGCAAATGCATACAACTGCAATAAATCTATAATACATTCCTTATAGTATCTTTAACGTTTCATCAGCAGAGCCATACCAATGATAGAACTTTGTCCTTTTTGGCCAGCTTTTCAAAAGCAAGACGAGCCAATGATAAATCCAGCCCAGAAGTCACTAATGATGTATTATAATGCTTGTCACTGCTAATGATTAAAAAAAAAAATCACACATTTCTGTCATTATGATTCTGATGAATATGGGCTAATGTGAATATGAATGAATTATTGCATATTTGTACCTTTTCTCAATGAAACTACCGTTGATGCATGATGCTGATGAGAACATTTTCTTGATCTCCCTACAATGCAAAAGAAACAATAAGATCAGTGACTGGGTAGCAGGTATAAGAGCTGCCATATGTAGTATATGTACGTAAATAACGGTTTATTTGTCGTTCTGCATTGCAGCGTGTTTGTATGTCTGAGTCCTGATGCAGAGACAGGGTTTATGGGTAGGCGAGGTGCTAATGGTATGTTGTGTATATATCTGTGGTGCTGTGCATCAACCAGCTTCCAGAGGTGGTTTCGGAAACATCGTGACAAGAAGTTGTGGCCCTACTTCCACAGGCTTTATAAAGGATTTCAGAGTAATATTGGCAGAGTGGAGGAAAGCAAAATGAATCTATTTGCATAAATAATTCCCTTTATTTTGCATATTTAGGTAGAAATGCCCCAATGTGCGCATTCATTAGGGCTACTGTGCTGTTTGTAATTAATTTTTGGTTGACAAAATGTATCACAACGCTGTAGGTACTGTTGCCTAACACAAACATCCAGAAAACTTGGACCCCAGTATTTACAAGAGAGAGAGAGAGAGAGAGAGAGAGAGAGAGAGAGAGAGAGAGAGAGAGAGAGAGAGAGAAAGAGAGATAAATTTGCTTTGTAGCCTGAACTACTGTCACAGCTGCTGTTTAAGAAAATTAATCATCACCTTCTTACCGATCGGATCTGCGGCACAGGTATTGGCATTCTGTTCAACATTCAATTAAGCATTCAATTTTAAAATCTGTTTTTCAAGGAACAATTTGGAAAAGTTATATTCAAGTGCAATGATGCTTTCCTTCATACCTTTGGTTTCTTTTCCATACTCTTGAGTTACAGTCTGAAATCCAGCGGTCAATAATTTCATCATCTAACACTGCTGTACCATTGCACAAATTCAGATTTGAACTTGCTTGAAAGTCATCCTTGGAAGAAAAAATAAATATTACGTTGACATTGAAAGTGTAAGCCTTCATTAAATAAGCCTGTCTTTTTTAAACAAGATTTATATTGCTCACCGTTGTAGAGATAAAGACGACAGAAAGATTTCCTCCAGCAGTAATTTTCTTAATCATCTGATCAGGGCTATATTCTGTTAAAAAACAACAACAACAAGAATATGATTATATAACTTTAATGACCAGTTGTCACTAACTAAATTAAATACAGTCATCTGTTTTCAAAAGTGTGCTAATAGTGTACTGACCTGGTGGCAACTGGACAGGAAGTGGCACACACTGATTGGTCCTCTGGCCATTTCCCAGCTGACCTTGCTCTCCACATCCGAATGAGTAGATTTTGGTTGAAGATTCAACAAATGCCAGGGTGTGATGCCTGGAATTAAAGAGAACAAGCTTCACATGAACTACTGCTATCAGATGTAACTATAATAAGAAAATGGGCTGTGCTATTACAGGAAAATAATCAACAATCAGGTGCCAAGATTTGTGTCAGGACCTTACCACCCCATGTCAATTTCTTTTTAATAACAGCTCACCCTCAAGTGTTTTATTCCATCCAATTTCCATGCCACTATGGACAATTTGGAAATGCCAATCAGCCTACAATGCATGTCTTTGGACTGGAGGAGGAAACTGGTGAGCCTGGAGTAAATATGATGCTTAATTTTATTTTAAGTGCATTTTAAAGGTAAGTACATACACTTTCACATGCATGTATCCCTGTCATGAGTGTTTATATTGTGAACTGTGCAATTCAGTACCTTGCATCTTATGAGGTTGCATATCAGAGGTAGTTACTTACCGTCCACAGACTATTTGGGACACTTTGGACCCCCAGAATTCAGCAACAATACGGGGATGATGTTCATCTCTGAATGAGTTATGTCCAAGCTGCCCGTAGTGACCTGAGCCAAACGTCAACATCAGTCCACCCTAAAAATGCAGATAAATGATTTTAACCACTTATAATTTGAATTGCATTAACTAGTAGTCAAGTCCACTAAGTACATTAAGTAGTACATTAAGTAAGTTGTGTCACACCATTCACCAGCAGAGGGAGCCAAGGACACCATTGATCCTCGTCACTAAAGGCACACCTGACGCCAGGTTTACTGTCATTTTATTTCTCCACTCAAATTGATGTTCCCGCAGTGGTTACACGTTTGCCTCACACATCCAGGATTGATTGTTCCCAGCATGTCAGGAAGTTGGGGTCAGAGGGTCAGCCATGATACAGAGCAGAGAGGGTTAAAGTCCTTGCTCAAGCACCCAACAGTGGCAGCTTGGCAGTGCTGGAGCTTGAACCCCCGACCTTCTGATCAGTAACCCAGAGCCTTAACCGCCAAGCCACCACTTCCCCCAATTGAGATTGAATTTCACACATTTCCTGATCATTGCTAAGCAAATCCTCTCATTAAATATTTTACCTGTGCTGGTGTAAATGTAGTGCGTGCAAAAAAAAAAGAATAATAATATGTGGTCAACCAGGTTTAAGAGAACATATGCATAGTTTACATAAAAATATATAGTTTCTCATCAAAATGTGATTTTATTTCTTATGCTAAATTTCTAATGACTAGTTTGAATTATATAGAATGAGTATGATCAATTCACATAGTATTAACGTGATCCAGTTATGTTATAAAACCTTCTGAGAATGCTGGCTCTGAATGGAAGAAATTACTATAGTATTCATTTAACCTGATTTTCACTTGTGTGGCATGATCATGCAGTGGGAAGTGTCACTGCCTCACATCCTGAGTGACCTGGGTTTGATCCTGAGCTTTGGTGAGAGTGCAGGGTTAGATCTTATTCAGTATCATGAAAATATATGATTAAATCATGTTAGATGTACGAAAACAAATCGGATTAATTAATGTAACTCAATTCAGTGGGACCGATGAACGCATTTGGATGAAGTATATTCAATGATATGCTTTTTTCATGTGCAAACACACATGTGCAAAGGTTTATGAACGTAGACTCTAGTATCAGTGCTTTGTAACAGTCAAATAAAACTGTTACTTTACGTTTTCTAACAGTCTTCTAAAATCTTCAGGACAGAAGAGTTAACCGTTTCTAGTTTCTTAGTAACCTGAAAAGCTGATGAAGTGTTAACCTTGGTTAGAACAGCAGTATGGTCCTCTCCGCATGAAATGAACACGGTCTTCTTCAAATTCAAGCTCTTCAAACAAACAGGGACATGTCTATCTGTGAGAACAAATGAAGAATACTATTACTGTACAGATTCAGACAGAGTTGAGTTTATAGTACATGTTTCTAGTAAAGTCAATACCATCAGTGTCTCCCAGGCCCAGCTGCCCGGCACTGTTCCTGCCCCAGCCGAACACGGCTCCGGAGAGAGACAGGGCGAAGCTGTGGTCTCCTCCGGCGCTGATCTGAGCCAGTGGGATCCCATACAGAGACTTGAGGGGCTGAGGAAACTCGACTTGGCTCGGCTCACCTTTCCCCAAACCAAGCTGACCGCTCGAGTTCTGACCCCACGTGAACAACTGACCATCTGAGAGGATGAAGCAGAGGAACGTTGCAAAATTTGTGTCACAATAAATATACAAACAAATTTTACTTTACATTTCAGCATTTGGCAGACACCCAAGGGCACAACAGTGTCAGTGCTGGGATTTGAACTCACAAACATTTGAGCAGTAGTCCAACGTCTTAACCACTGAGCTACCACTTCCCACCACTGAGCTGCTACAGATTGTTTGTGTCAGGTAGTTGTGTTAGTATATGTAAGATATGGCCTTAAAGTATTTCCTAAAAGAATGGCCTTTAGTCGATATCAATAGATCAAAAACGAAGACATTTTCTCGCAAATAATTTAATAGAAAAGACATAATGTGGTATTGTATATGATACCACAGTGATGCTGAATTCTCGAATCTGATCTCTCAGAAGCATTTGATTCGTTTTCAATAACAGCTGCTCTGACAGTAGTTCCAGCTTAAAAGCAAATCAAAGGATTATATTCTACTACATTATCATATGGTAAATAATAAATGCGCACTTCTATAGCACTTTTATCCAAAGCGCTTTACACTGTGTCTCATTCACCCATTCACACACACACCAATGGTAGCAGAGCTGCCATGTAAGGCGCTAGCTTGCCATCGGGAGCAACTTGGGGTTCAGTGTCTTGCCCAAGTACACTTCGGACTTGTGGAGTCACCCGGGCCAGGAATCGAACCGCCAACTCTACGATTAGTGGACAACCCACTCTACCAACTGTGCCACAACCATATAGCATATGCTCCATATAATCTAATTCTAATACTAAATTATTTGAAAAAAACCTGTTGTTATTTAAGAAAGAAAAATATATCATTGTTGATATAGTGTTTAGGGAAGGAGTCTCCAGTGTCAGTGTTTTGTAAAGACTACAGAAAAGTCTCCAGCTCTTTTTAGTTTCTCTGTAAAATGACAAGCTACATGACTACAGGAACTAACTTGTTTCACACTCACAAATCTTTTGCACTTTTATTCTGACATCTTGTTTAACTTCCTGGTTTTGTCTCAACCTTTCACCTACATTTCACACACACACACACACACACACACACACACACACACACACACACACACACACACACACACACACCAGATTCAAATTCTCACTCACTGCTCAGTGTATTTATGCAGTCCATTTCCTCAGGTTTATTGCAAGGTTTTGTTATTTCTTATGCTTTGAAATAGTTTGCATGATTGACTGACTATTGCCTGTTGTTCATGACTACATCCTGCCTGATTTCTCGTTTGTGACTTTTTCCAATGTTCCACAACATTAAATTGTAACTATACACTGGTAGAGAAAAAAATGAGGTCATCCCTTAATTAATAAAATATGCTGTGGTATAAGAGGAATAAAAAACTTCAGGAGGTGCTGTTGCATTGGACCGATTCACAATGGAAGACCGTTGATTATTTTCCTATAACAGCAGGAATGAGCCATGGCTATAACTCAACCTTGAGAAGACCTCTTCATATGCATTATATAGAGAAGAGCTTAGAGCATACAGCCATTTTCAGCCCAGAATGAAGTGTTACACAAAACATTTAAGCCTTAAATGTATATGTTCATATTTGGGTTCAATCACCATGAATTCCTCTGCTAGTTGTTTAAGAAAACAAGGCGTGTAACTATACGTACCTTTTGTTAGGACAATTGAGTGATAGTTTCCACATGCAACTTGTGCAATTTGTCTGTTAGTTAAGCTGCCACATGCCCTGCTTATGAAAAACAACAAACAAACAAAAAATTAAGATGAATTTATTATTTGATGATTTCTCTCAGATGAACCACAGTGCTTGGAAATCGAACCCACTTGGGTATGTTGCATCGAGCTGAACGTTTCCATTCATGCACCGTCCCATTCTCAGACACAAGCACAACATGCTCCTTTCCGCTGCTCAATAACGCAGCTCGGTCCTTCTTCAAATCTAAAGTAATTCCTAAAAAAACAGAAATCTTGTTGTTATTGGTACTGTATTTGTCCGTCTGTACAATGGTGATTTAATACATCCTTTAATACATATATATATATATATATATATATATATATGTGTGTGTGTGTTTTTGTGTGTGTGTGTGTGTGTGTGTGTGTGTGTGTGTGTGTGTGTGTGTGTGTGTGTGTGTGTGTGTCTGTAGTTATAAGAGAGAGAGAGAGAGAGAGAGAGAGAGAGAGAGAGAGAGAGAGAGAGAGAGTATACTGTATATGGAGATGTCCCCACCCAAAGTGGAGCTGAAAGGAACTTGGGCCACTAGAGTATAATTCCGTCATTTAATTTGTAGTTAAATGTTGCAATAAATAAATAATACTAAAGTTAATTCTGTTAAATTAAAAGTTAAATAAAGAATTCTTCTGTTTGCTATTCAACATTATATTAATCGCAATATTTAATTATTGAATTATTTCATTATACATATATTTAATTAATAAATTCTGAAAATCCTACAATTTCCATTTGGCAGCCTAGATGTCTATCCTTTACCTTTTTCGGCTGCCCCTGAGACTGTAATATTTTTGTATGGCATTAAAGAGAGCAAGAACTCACGCTTGTGTGACGTCACTACGATGACTTTCCGGTCCGTGTCCCTAAGGAATGTCGCGAGCCCCTCTCTGATGGACACATCCGTGATTCTCGTCCCTCTGAACATTTGATCAGATCCATTAAGGTTCTCATGTGAAGGATCATCTCCTGTCGAGTTCAATCTGCCCCAGTAAAGCATTCCGAATCTCACAGGATGTACAAATGTCCTCTCTGTGACCGTGTCTGAGGACCAGCTGATGTAGAAAGCATGTAAACACGAATTTAAACACAAACTGAGAAGACGAAACTTAAGCTGAGAGTTGAAACGAAACCGAAACTCATCTGCACATTTCTATCCAAGTATCCACTAAAAGGAAGTAATCAGCACTAAAGTAAACAAAGTCAGTATTTGGCATGTGACACTTTGTCTTTATAAAGTAATCTCAGGTATACTTCATACAAATTTTGGAGAACATTGGCTTGGTTTATTTATTTATTTATTTATTTATGTATTTATTATTATTATTATTATGAGCATTTTTATCTTCTGGAGACTTTATCTGTTGCACTTGCTTCTGTTTCCCTAACAGACAGCATTTTGAAAATGTATTTATTTATTTATTTATTTATGTCACGGTTCCCCCTTGAAGCAGCATGCTCTCACGCTGTTGCGCATGCGTGTTGTGACATTCGAACATATTCTCTTTGTTTTCGTTTCTGTCAATGGCTTGGAGGGCACGTGTGTTTTGTGTATGTTCGTCATGACCCCGCCCCGTGTCTGTCATAGGTTGTATCCCCACGTGTGTCTGGATTACTCCCAGCTGAACACTGTTTAAATTAATTCATGCCGGTTTATATACTACGCGCCGTACTACACACAGCGCGATTAATTAAACATATTCAACACAGTAAACTTAGTCCCTTGTTAGTTATAGTTCACGCTGGGTTATCCGCTCCCAGATCTTAGTCTTAGTTCACGTTCATGTTCATGTTTATGTTTATGTTTGTTTCTCGACCCTGTTTTCCGTGCCTCGTTATTGATATCTGCCTTGCCCCTAGTCTATGCCTGTTTGCCGTTCGCCTGACCTTCGCCTGTTTTCTGGATTATGCCTTTGGATAACGTTTTGGATTTGTCTGCCTCTTGTAAATAAACTACACTCGTTCTTAAGTGCGCTTACCTCCTTCCTTCTTCCGCACCGTCACGACTTGTGACAATTTATTTGAACTGGTCTATTATGATGTGTAAGCCTAGTATGTAATATGTTACTTGCTTAACTGACATACAAAATTTTTTTCCTAACTTTCATTTTCAAGTACTAAAATATTTAAAAAACAAAACAAAACAAAAAACAGGGCACCTAAGACTTTTTGCACGGTACCTGCACATATATTTTGTGTAGTGTAACAATCTGAACCCGAAATGAATTTATTGGGATAATATATTGAAGCTACAGTACACAAAATAGCCCTGAATGTTAAAGTGGTGGTGGTGGTGGAGGGGAGAATGGTATGGGTGTGTTATATTTATGCCCACTAGTGGAATAACAGAGTAGTAATTCTGTGTTCCAATTCGCCTACTATCTGTCCTAAATAGTATCCAAGATTAGACTGGGTGCGTCCCAAATTGTAGTATGTTGAGTATCCCAAAGGTACCAGGATGGTCTACTATTTCCGGCAGATTTTCGAAGTGCTAATATTTAATGTTGCCCACAACTCCTTGCATGAAGGAGCAGGAGTTTTGTGACGGTTCGCTTCTCCGAATTTAACCTGCAAACATAGCAGACGAGTGTAAAGCCGGTGAATTTAAGTGTAAGAACTTAAATGTTAAGCACTAGCCAAAGTTCTTTACTGTCATGTAAGATTAAAGGATGGTAAATTAAATGATGTAGTATAAATTCTACAAGGAATAACAAATAATGAAAAGCTGAAATGCAATGAGGAGTGTTTACGGTGACAGTGTGCATTACTACATGAGGCAACAACGCTGTCTTACATTACATGACGTGGTAGTATGTCCCAGTACTTGCATATTATTTTCTACACACTCAAATGTATGTACTTTTTCTTAGTGTATAGTATAAGTAGGTGAACTGGTACGCAGCAAAGCACTTGCTAGAATCTTACAGTTCAATTACGGATTAGAGTCTGGGCCATATGCTTGACCCCCTTGCTATGGATACTACAACTAAAGCTTATGAGTACAGCTAAAGCTCTAACACTTTCACTGTTTTTCATAAAGTATGAAAAAGTCCTCATAATTGACCAATAATAACTCAATAACTCATAAAAAAATAACAAACAAAAACAAACATAGGGTGATTTTTAATGGCTGATAAACAGCTGCTAGTACAAATGCACTAGTGGGTCTCCCCTCAGCCTCCCCTGTCTTTGAAAGCTAAAAGGAAATCAATATAATTATTTTTGCCATCCAAAACAGATAATTTGCTATTAACAAATGTTTTAAAGTGGATTATTTTGGACTTCTGTGGAACCAAGCGCCACAGCACTACCATCAGTTGGAAGAAAAATGCACAGAATGGTATGAAGAAGTGAGACTGGGGCTGATTTCTTTTTAGCCATGACAGTAGATTCATGCAGCTTTTCCGTGACAGTCTTGTCATGTGATTACACGAACTGAAACGCCCCCTTGCGT